GCTGCTGTGGTCCCTTGGCCGGTGCAGCAGCCGCTCCCGCTACGTCGGGGACGCTTCCTCCAGCTGCCAGCCCCAAAACCTGGTGCTGCACATCACTGGCTGATGCGGGCTCCAAGGATGTTGTTTCAGGAGTGGTTAACAAAGAGACAAGAGCTTATTGTACCTCTTGCACCCTCGGCAAGGCGGCCCTTCCCTCCAGCAGTGCCAAAGCTCTTAAAAGCCCTTTTCCTGAGCCAGACTAATGCTGTGTCTCAGGAGGTACAAGGGGAAGAAGCCAAGGGGTGGTGGATGCAAGGTCAGAGCAGCATCCAAGGCACAGCTGGGGACATACTGTACAAGCTCCTTAGGCCAGGGATGAGCCATCATCCGTCTGTAACGGTGCACCCATCCTCCTGCCCATCCCAGCGTGTGGGATCATCAGCCACTTCACACACTAAAAGCCCATCAGCCACTTCACACACTAAAAGCCTGTGGGGGTAGGTGCGGGAGAGACTGGGACACTTGGCCCCACGAAAGCTGTGTTTCCATCCAGCCTTCCCTTGGAGGGATGCTTTACACCAGCAAACAGACAAAACCCTTCTTACATCAACTCTCTTGACTTGATGCCCAGGGAAAAACATGCTGGGAGATACAGCAAACAAGTCACCTCCATCTCAGCCCTCTCCTCACGATTTTGGGGTGCAGAGGCTTTGGGGCTCCAAGAGCTCTTCTGAAAGGCTGGAAGCTGAGCATGCCAGGCTCCCCAGGCTGGACCACTGCCCTGCCCCAAGCCCTGCAAACCTGTCCAGCCCAGGGCGAGAGCAGGACAGTTTTTCTCTTTGTAGGGGTGACAAGCTCTTTCTTCCAGGTAGGCTCATGGGAGGAGGTTTCATGGGGAGCTTTGGAGCACCGAGGATGGTGTTTTTCTGCCAAAGCAGTGGCAGAACATTGTGTTCCCTTGGGGCAGGGGTGGGCAGCCAGAGCTGTCCCAGAGAGGAGAACACGGTGCCTCTGGCTGCTTGTTGTGTCATTCACGGTCGGGTTTCTCTTTCTCCTACCTTGTGTTCCTCAGATCTGCTGAAATCCAACAGCTCTCGCCTGTTGCTGGCCTCAGGGGATGGGCTGGATTTCCAAGCCCTCTTAGTGGATGAAGACAGGGCCTGGCTGATGGTGGGAGCAAAAAACCACATCTTCCTGCTCCACCTGGACCATCCCACCAGAGAGCCTGAGAAGGTCAGTGCTGGGAGGAGGGTGTGAGCATGACCCTGGCCAGGCTGGCCTTTTCCTCCCTGGGAGCCACTCCTTGTTCCACTGCCTGGGCATGTAGGTGGATGTGCTCTGTCCTGGGCTGCTCTAATGTCACCAGGGACACATTTACACCAGGATGTCTCTATCAGTGGGGGTCAACCCATCCCTGGTGCTGCTGAGTCCCTCAGGGACTGGCCGACGCCAGGGAAGGGACAGGGCAGTTTGGGAGGAGAGGAGACCTGGGTGGACTCTGGGTCATGGGTGGAAGGGCAGTGCCTGGAGCCCTGCTACCACACCTAGTCCCTGCTACAAGCGCTGTGACCACCGCAGCAGCGAGTGCCGCTAATGTCATCCCAAGACATCCTGCCTGCGGGGTGCTCAGCTCCGGCCCGACAAAAGGAAAGCCCATTAAGGAGCTGCAGCCTGGCGTTCCCACGGGTCGGCATCCAGGAGAGCCTGCCCACTGGCTGGGTGTGCCGTGGCCCACCCAGCCTCTGTCCTCACGCCAGTTTGGCAGGCTGCCCGCCTGGCTCTGGGGACCCAAGGGTTGGTCAGATCCATTGCAGACCAGCCCCGTGTCCATCACCGTATGCTGGAGCTTTCGGCTGAGCCCATTCCCGCCCAGTGCCTGCGGGAGCCGGGCAGGTGAAGGAAAGCAGGGGCTGCATCGTTGGGGTCTCTGTTGCAGATTTTCTGGCCAGCCTCCAGAGAGCAGGTCGAGCATTGCCAGCTGGCGGGGAAGAACATGGAGGTAAGCAGGGCTGGCAGCCACCGGCTCACGGCCTTTCTGCAGTTTGTCGTGGATATTAAACACCTACCTCACCCCGAAAGGGAGCGTGGGGTCTGCCTGAGGCAAAGGTGCTGAGCCAGCTGGAGTTAAGCTCAGCTTACTGGCTGGGGGGGGGG